CTGCTGCCATGGCCACCAAGGCGAGGTGCCCCTTGCCCACCTGGCAACAGTGGGGGCACAGCTCTGCACTACCACTGCTGCTGTGCCTCACCTTGGCAGCCGTAATAGTATGGTGTTCCCTCCTGCACTGGATTCTGCCTGCTAAACCACAGAGATGGCTCCTGCCCAGAGCTTCATTAAAGGGGGAAAATCTGTATTTTCCCACAGCAGACGAAAAATCTGGATCCCTGCTCATTAGGTTCTAGGCTATATAGCACATTTGAAGTTCACAGTCAAATATTTTCATATGATTGCTAAGGCATACAAGTAGTCGCTGACTCGCTGTACTCCACTCTGTTTTACCAAACATTTAAGAGCCTGATATGATAAAAAGGCTCAAAGGCCTCCTTTATACTTTTAACTGTAGTTCGGGAACTAATTCACCTGCTGTGGTCCTAGCTGCAAGTCACTAAGGTAATGGTTGCAGGAATAGGTGGGGAAGATGTCCTTTTAGGTATTTTTGAAATATTAAGTGGTTTATGTCATGTCCCCAGGTATAATGTTAACAGAGATTATCCATTGCTGCTTCCCAGTTACGTCCTCTTAATTTTCAAAATCCAGCAACTCCCATAGTTGTACCCTCTCTAAGCATAACATTTCTCCCCCTGACCTCCTACCAACTCTGTTCAATATTGTGTCACTTGCCTCTCATGTGGTGTGATACTGTTGTCCAGTAGATTTTGGTTCTGAAGTCCAGTGGGAGGTAGCAAGATCCCTGGGAAATGCTGAACAAACTTAATTAGAAATGACAGCTAACGAAGTTGTCAGCATGATGTACTATACTGGATACGCTCCAAATAGATTTCTCTAAAGGAAGTAGAAAGTATTTTTATTTTGGTAGCCACATACATTCCTGTTCATGTTTCAGAACTTGTGGCTAGCTACTGATGGTTAAAGTCTTCCAGGCAGGAAGACATGAATATGAATATTTAAAGTGCATCTTTGTTTGGCTGCTTGAGCTGTGGCAACTAATTTAAAATTATTTGTATGTTAGGTCCTCAGACTTCTAATTTTAGTTCTAAACTCTTGCTTAGTTGAGGCTGGTCATGAATGGCAATTGCACAAACTCTGTTAACCTTTTACCCAAGTGACTTTATCGTGAACCTTACATTGACAGTTAGATTTTTTTTTTATGTAACAGCTTCTGAGTTTCCTTCACATTCTTAAAATGAAATTAGCACAATTTCACTTGATCTAGCATCTATTACCTAGCTGCTTGCTTCAAATCTGAACTAACTGAAATTCTATAGAAAACCAGTAAAATTAATTAACATGTTTTAAACTAAGATTTGCTGGGGTTTTTGTATCTTTAAATAAGATTGCATCTCCAATTGCAGCAAAGCTTAATCTGACCTGTTTATCATGGCTACCATTTCTCATTCTATGAGTTAATATCCTAATAGATAAAGGACTCAATTTAAAGCTAAACTGATGACTTTACTAGCGTTGAGTGGCATCTTAGTTAGCAGGGGTGCCACGGATATAAATAGGAAACATTCATAGAATATGCTGTTACTCTGCGCAAGTAATGAGGCCACTAATAAGAGATATTAATGATTATGAAGCTAGATTCAATTTTAAAAGTGAAGCAGGCTCAAATGCAGTGTGTTCTGCTAATTATGGTTTGGAATCTAGCAAGCTAGCATTTAAAAATGTACATACTAATTAGATTAAATCATAATTCACTTACTGCCTGAAGATACTGTCAAATTTGAAATCTCTCTCCATGCTCAGATCAATACTAGCAGTGTGGGAGCTCACATAATAAAAAACACTTCTATTTGTGTGCTGGTCCCATCATGTTTGCCAAGAAGGTTCTGCCTCCTGTGACCTTACTTTTGAGTTTATTTTCAGAGTGCATTCTGATTATATTTTTTTCTGATTCTGTTCTGTGCTTTTTTGGGAAGAACTGTGGTTTCTGTTTTCCTCCTAATCCTTCCTTCTCCCTGGCCTTTTTGGTAGATTGGCTGAAAGATGTCATTCCACCCTCACAGTAGTTTCTTAGCCACCTCAGGCATGCTTCTGCAGCTGTGCAGTTTACATTTTTATTGAAATTATTCTAAAGGTATATAACATGATTATACTTTTTGGTACTCCACAGTAGAAGTATGAAGTGGGTGCAATATTCTGAGAATTTTTGGTGTGTGTTCATAGCTTTTTCCTTCTGTCCTTGTCTTTATTATTGGTTAAGAAACTGTTTTAAATGATGCTGTGATGATAAATACTGACACTGCAGGTTTTCTCTGAAGGTAAGTTACCAGAGTTATCCATTTCCTTGGATTATGGCTTTTCAACCTTGAATCCCTTAGGTTATTTTTTTCTAGATACTGCAGACACAGCCATTTCTGTGTGTGCGGGCTAGATTTTTATCAACAAAAAGGTAGGCACATTCATTTTCCTGAGCACTGAAGCTCTCTATCATTGTTAAATAGATTGATTGATTTATAAAGAAAGCCTGGAAGAAGTAGGATGGTTTAGTCTGAGAAGAGAAGGCGGGTGGTGGGATTTGACAGTCTTCAAATACTTAAAGGGTGACTCTAAAGAGGATGGAGATGGACTTTTCCCTGTGGCTGCATGGGACAGGACTAGGAGCAGTGGCCTCAAACTGAAGGAGAGGGAATTTTTAGGTTGAGGATTAAGAAGAGCTTTCTGACTGTGAGGGTGGCCATGCATCAAAATAGACTACATAGAGATTGTGGACTCTACATCCCTGGAAATTTTCAAGAGCTGCTTGAATGGACTCTTGACTGGGATGGTTGATCCTGCCTTGAGTAGATGACTAGATGAGGTTGGACTAGATGAGGTTCCATCCTACTTTCTTATGATCCTAATATTGCTTCTGAAGCAAGGGTGGTGGCAACATGTTGATTATGTATTGGCAATTAGATAGTAATGGTAGGATAGTAAAGCTGCCACCAAATGGAAAAGGATATAGGTTCTGGTTTTGATGAAAAAGCTCTCTAGGATTTTTCTCTCCACATTTACTGAGGTCCTCATATATAAAGCTCCCTTCAGCTGAATGATTCAGGGTAGCACTACAGGAGTCAGTCAGTGCCAAAAGAGGACTGATGCTATGGATCCAGATCAACCCTTTGGACTTAAAATTATGTGGAATTTGGTGTCTGAGTTCAGGAGTGTGATCCTCAGAACCTGCCCCAAATCTTTAGGTGTTTAATATCTGTAGGGATATAATTTTTGGAGCATTTATACACATGCTTGGGGGGTGAGGGGGGGGGGCATTAATTAGAGTGGCTCTGAGAGCTGCTCTAATTAAAGCATCCAGAATGTCATGTGTATCAGTATCCCCACGCTGAAAAATGGCAGTGGGGGTGCTTTATCATAAAATCACAGAATCATAGAAGTAGGGTCAGAAGGGACCTTGTAGATCTTCAGGTCCGACCCCCTGCCTGGGCAGGAAGAAAACTGGGCTCAAATGACCCCAGCCAGGTAGGCATCAAGCCACTTCTTAAAGACCCCCAGGGTAGGAGCCAGCACCACTTCCCTTGGAAGTTGGTTCCAGGTCCTAGCCACCCTAACTGTGAAGTAGTTGTTACGGATGTCTAATCTAACCCTACTCTCCAACAACTTGTGGCCGTTATTCTTTGTTATCCCGGGGGGCGCTAGGGGAAACAAGGTCTCCCGCAAACCCTTCTGGTCCCCCCCTAGTGAGTTTATAGACGGTCACCAGGTCCCCCCTCAGCCTTCTCTTGTGAAGGCTGAACAGGTTCAGATCCCGTAACCTCTCATTGTTGGGTCTGACCTGCAGGCACCGGATCATGCGGGTG